GCTGTTTTTTCTCAGTGGGTCTGATTTCTCCAAGATATTTATACAAGGTACAGACCATAATTGTGCTAATAAAGAGGAAATTATACTGATCTATAATTAGAGTAATAAGGAGAAAGGTACAGCAGATCATAATTGAACCAATAAGGGGAAAGTACAATCATGTTTAATGGCTTGCATGAGTGTTAGTGTATTCTGTATACTTAATAAATTGGTACCCATTTTCATGGTGTGTATCTGAAACACTTTTCCTGATATTATCAAATCACCTTTCAAGTCTATTGTTGGGCACTTCTGCTGGCCCTGTAACCCCTCTGGGGTGAGGAATAAGTAGAATAATAGAATTTCAGATGGGTTTGACCATCAGCTTCAATCATCTGTAGCAGCACTTCATCCCTGTCCAGGTTTAAATCCACAGATACACAGGTGTGCAGTCTCCTGACAAGGGTGAGATTTGGAAAAAGAAACACAGAAAAGGTTGAGAGGTGTAACCCCACGAGGTCACTGTGTTTGGGCATGAAAAGATGCTCTGCAAGCAGGACGTGCTCGAAGGACAAGGCAATGATTTATTTCCTGATATTCACAGTAGAATAACGCGGCTGCAAGCCCCAGAGCTGAGCGTCAGTAATTCCTTACTGCTGCTGCTGCTGAGCTCCCACCTTCTCTGGGCTTTTTTTTTTTTCAACCTGAAAATTTCACAGCTCGCAGCTTTGATGTGTTTCCCTGCAAGTCCTTGAGCTGCTAACTGTCCCCTTCTCAGCAATCTTCCCCCTGTCTGCAGTTTGACCTCTTGGAGCTCGTAGAGCTGGAGTTTGCTTGTTTCCCTCGCAGCTTTTTCTCACGGCGGGGTGGTTTGCTCAGAGCTTCGAGCCAAGGTCGCGCAGATGCTCGGCGTGGAAATCCTGCCAGGGATCAGAGACAGAGCTGAGCCCTCCCAGGGGAGTTCACCACGGCTCAGCTTTAAAGCAGCCTCCCCACGTCTTCACAGAAATGACATCAAATAGAGTTTGGATATAATTGTCTTGTTGATTTCCCTCTCAGCCATTAAAAAAAATAAGGATGTTTCCTCCATTTACTTTTACTTTCCTCAGACATGCCCACTCTTGGTGTGTGACATCCTTTACTCTGAGGTGACACCTGCAAAGATTTTCAGCCCAGTTACCCAGGCAGGAGCCCAGGTGCTGTTTCTGAGCTGTGGGTGGCTTAGAAGGGCAGGACCAAACCAGGTGAATGGGATCTTCATGTGCAAGGTCAGAGAACACCTTGGGAGAGAGGCTCATGTTTTGCACCAGAATCATCTGAGACATGCATTTCTCCAAATATTTTTCTCTCTCAAAGATTTCTCAGCTCTGCTAAGTCCTGAAGATCAATGGAAAGAGAGAATTTACAAGAGCACAGAGTGACAGGACAAGGTGGGATGGCTTTAAACTGAGACAGAGGAGGTTCAGGTGGGATATTGGGAATTAGGAATTGTTCCCTGTGAGGGTGGGCAGGCCCTGGCACAGGTGCCCAGAGCAGCTGTGGCTGCCCCTGGATCCCTGGCAGTGCCCAAGGCCAGGTTGGACACTGGGGCTGGGAGCACCTGGGACAGTGGGAGGTGTCCCTGCCATGGCAGGGGTGGAACTGGGTGGGCTTTGGGGTCTCTTCCAACCCAAACCACCCTGTGATTCCATGATTCTGTGATAATATGGAATGTGTGTGAGTTAGGATTTTAATAATACTTAGGTAAAATCCTGAGGGGCAATAATGGTGAACTAAATAATAAAAAAATGCTATATTTTTATAGTACTATATACTATAGTGAACTAAATAATAAAAAAAATACTATATTTTTATGTATTTCCATATATATCCATATATGATACCTATTGTCCTCTAAGCTTCTTAAACTAACAAATATCAGTTCCCCAGAGCTGAACTTGGCTTTCATTTCTTCAGACACTTGGACATTTCCTTGATCAAAGTCCCCGTGTCAATGTGACAATGATTTCACATGAAAGAACAAAAGGACACTTTCATATTTTGTGGAGATTTAAAAAAATGGGCATTACCTTATAAAACCTCATTAGATAGAAGGATAGACCTGTTTTAAAGAAAAAGGCAAAACCTGTAAAAGTAAGAGTATAAATACATATATGTCTGTAGGTGTACAGCATATATTTTTATATATATAAATTTATAGTACTTCCCTCACTGGCTTGCACCTCCTTTTCTTCCACTCTCCCATAGGATCACTGAGAAAATGATGACTCTCCACACAATTACTGAGGGCATTAAATGTGTTCAGTCTCTAATTTTTGCACAGGTATTTTTAGCAAGCTAAGTAATAACTAAAAGAAGTGTTTCCTCTCACCGCACACAGTTGTAAAACTTTAATTTATATGTTAATTTTTTTAATTAAAGAGGGAAAAAATGTAGAATTTGGCTTAGTTTTCTTTAAAAGTACAGCATAAGAGCTGAACATTAGGCTGAAGGACTGCAGTGGAGAGGTCTGACATTTACCTGGAGACATCCAGGTAACCCCAAGGCTGAACTTGGAGTTTCCTGGTGCCTTGGAAACAGCCTGAGACAGTGGATTCACTCATCCCAGGGTCACCTTGTCAGAAAACTCCACATTTTGCATTTAGTAAAGCAGTGCCTCGGAGCAGGAGGCTGCTCCTGGTGCCCTGGGCTCTCTGAAGAGGAGCAGGGAGGGGAAGGCGCAGCCCTGACAGCAAATGAAGGAAAAAATGGACAAGGTTTGAAAACAGATGAAGCCAGAAGCAGCATTTAGTGTTTGAGTCTCCTGCTGCTTCTCTGCTGCTCAAGGCAAAGAGGTTGAGAGCACAAGCATGGTCATAAGAATCTGAAATTTGCTTTACAGTGGCCTCTAACAAGATTTAGGGGTTATGATTCATCCCTCTGATGTCAGAGAAATGAAGGAAGTGTGTGTCACCTGGAGACATCCCCAAATGGGCTGAGGAGGCAGCAGAGAAAGGCAGCAAATGCTGAAACATTGAGAACTGCCTCAGTCTGAGTAGCACCATTCAGTGTTTCCTGCACTTGAAAGGTTTTGATCAGCAAGAGTTGTCACCAGAAATAATTCTGAATGAATTTTATTATTAAAAAAATGTATTATTTAAAATTTCATTATCAAGAATTTATTATTAAATATTTATGTAATTATTATTAATATAGGTTCATTATAATGGTATTCATGTTATTATATTATATTATATTATATTATATTATATTATATTATATTATATTATATTATATTTATTATATTATATTTATTATATTGTATTTATTATATTGTATTTATTATATTGTATTAATTTTTTATTATTAAGTATTTCTATTACACTGCTGAGTTAACAATCTTGGTTCCAAGAATTCTGAAATCCCGCTGTATTGTACAGTTCTGTGCTGAAAGTTTAGGGATTTTTCACAGAATTATGGAATCCTCAAAAGGCCTGGGTGGAAGGGATCCTAAAAATCAGCCAGTCCCAACCCCTGCCATGGTGGTTTAGGTTTAGAGTGGGACATATTCTCTCCAGTGAACATATCCATGCAAAATACCTGTGGAAGGTCTGCTCCCAAAGGACATGGTAAAATTACCAGGAGAAATTAAATAACCCTGCTTTCTTGAACTTTCCTCTGTTAAAACACTAATTCCCATTCTGGCTCTAAAAACCCCACTTGTAATCTCCATATTAAGGTCTATAAACTTAATTCTTAACTTTTTATTTCTGCTTTATTCCTGTTCTGTGCGTTGCCAAATATTGCTTTTGTGTAATTGAAACAGAGCTGTAGTTTGATTATTAAACAGGGAAGGTAATTGTGTTCGGCTCTAAAGGGGGAAGCAAATGTGGACAGCAGGAAAAAAAGCTTAAATTGTGGAAAAATGGCTTTTTTTTTTTCTTTTTCTTCAGAGCAGAGCTAGAGAGCAGATGCTGCTGGGGGACAGCAGTCCCAGCTCCAAGGGGTGACTCTGTGGTTCCGTGGGGTGGCTCAGGGAAGGGGGTTTGACAAGAAAGTTTGTAAGGATGGTGGATGGAATATTTTTGTTTTCCCCACCCCTCTGTTTTGATCTGTACCCTGCAGAATTGTGGCACTTTAATGCTGTGCTGTGGGACACGTCCCCCATCCATGGTTCAGCCTGGCTTTGCACCTGCAGCCTGGAATTCTGGTAGGAGCAACGCTCAGGAGCCTCAGGAAAAAGGAGGATATCAGGTGTGCTCAGCACCACGGGTGATTTCCTGTTTGAGGCTTAAGGAAAGAGAGCGAGCAGCATGTGACACCACATGGGTCCCATTTTTAACCCTAACTCAGAAGGGGACAATGCAGCTCTGTGCCACAGCCTGGATGGGCAGGAGTCAAGTGATGCAGCTGGTGCTTGACATGTCCAGGCAGGGCACATTCCTGTTTTATCTGCCACAGCTGTTAAAACCAATAATAAATACTTATTTACAAAGAAAATCTGACATTTCAGTACAGCAAAAAAAAAAAAAATTACAGGTGAGAGTGCTCTAAGCAGGATGAAAGAGAGGCTTGAATTATTATGTTTACATTTCTATTTATTTCTATAAAACAGATGCCCTGTGCACAGAACAAATCCCTGTGTTTCCTCAGGCTCATGCCTGGTTTTGCCCAGCCTGGGGTTGTCCCTGGAGCATTTCCAGGGCAGCTCTGGGAGCAGATGTGGGATGGGAGGCAGATCAAGTGGCTGCTGCCAACTCTCGCGAGCTCCATGTCAGAAAGAGTTGATTATAATGTCAGCACCGGCCAATTTACGGGCTTAAAGCAGCAGCTGCACCGCTGCATTTCCCCCAGGGATCCCAAGATCCCCACTCTTAAAAACTTTGTAGTTTCTTGTAATAGAAGCAGGGTAAGTGATTCTCTCTTTGCACGTCTCTGCCTGCCAGGATAATTTGCGGTTCAGCTTGATTTGCGCGGGGATTGGGATCGCGGGGAACGCTCTGCTCTGCCCATTTGTTGCTCTCCAGGGGAAGCTGCCTCTGCTCTGCAAGTGGAACAGCGTGTGTAGCAGACCTTGGCATTATTCAAGGGATCCTGGGCTAAGTAAATTAAGCTGAGCTAGAAATCACTTATTAATTCAACCATCTTTCCTATTTAAATAGTGATTATGTAGTCCGGTGTATAGATTTTTTGGCTGGGTAAAGATTTGCAAGGGGGAGGAAAGAGGCTTTGAGATAAATAGTGTTCCCTCGCTGAATAAGAATGCAGAAGTAGAGTCTGTTTAACTTTTGCTGGGGGAAACTACTACAGCAGCAGGTTTTTACAATGTGCAAATACACTGCTTGCTATAGCTCTGCTGGGTTGGTGTTGATGAGCTGAAGCAATCTTCTGACCCTTTTACTCTCATTGTAATAATCAAGTAATGTTTGTTTTGCTCGGTTTGCTTTACGTTGCTGAGCTTGGTTTAAAGCAGCATTAAAATCCTTATTAAATGTAATATTTGCCAGGCATTCAAGGTGTAATAATAATCCTCTGTCGCTTGCTACTTTTGTTAATATTGGCAGAGTGACCGGGGAGTAGATGAGTTCTCTCATTCAGTAGTACAAAACTTCTGTGTTTTTCAAGCTTGATCCAACTTGTTCTTTGAAATGCCAGAGCTAATTTGAAAGGAACAGAACTAAAATTTTTTGGGTTTTTTTCTCACTACTCTTATGATCTAAAACTATTGCCTCTATATTTTGCAATGCTACATTGTTTATCCCATCTCTTTTTAATTAACAGGAAAGTGCAGGAGGAGAATTAATTTTAATTACTATTTAGGTGGATTAATCTTGAGGAACTTTAAAGTCTCTTGTTTTTCTTAGCATCATTTTCTCTTCATAATGACAATACTTTAAATACCTTATTATTTCCAGCTTGTGGTTTTGTCATGATCAAATTCACTGAAGTAACAGTGCCACAACAGACTTAGATAAAGAGCTTCCCCCATCTCATAGTGTTAGTGGATGCTCCAAAACCCAACTGGATCCCTCATCCATCTTTATTCTTCTCCCAGCTCTGGTGGCTTTTCAGGATCTTGGGTTTGGTTTTGCAGAGGGGCTGAGAGAAGCTCTGGGATGCTCAACATTAATGATTTTTTAAGCACAGATTTACAAAGCAAACCAAATCATTCTTCTCACCCCTCCTTCCATGGCCTCCCTTAAATCTTCTTGAGAGAGTTTTAAAATGAAACGTGCTCTGTTAAAAAAAATAATCCCAAGTCTGTGTTGGTTTAGCAGGCTGGAAATATTCAGCAAACCGGGTGGTGATGCCAAATTTTCTCAGAGACAGTGGGATTTAGGGTTAAGTGTTTTAGCAAACCGGGGTAAATACAGGCTCTTTTTTTGTCTCAGTGCAGGTTTGGGGTGGATATCAGACAAGGTTCTTCCCCCAGAGGGTGCTGGGCACTGCCCAGGCTCCCCAGGGAAGGGCACAGACCCAAGGCTGCCAGAGCTCCGAGAGTTTTTGGACAACATTCCCAGGATGCCCAGAGTGGAATTGTTGGGGTGTCTGTGCAGGGCCGGGGGCTGCACTGGAGGATCCCTGTGGGGCCTTTCAGACTCAGGATATTCCCCAATCCCATGCCTGGCACAGAGAGAGGGGAGCCAGAAGCCAGTGATGTGTGACTGAGCCTCCTGCCAGTGCCAGGGTGAGTTGGGCTGACCCAAACTCCTTGGGAGCTGCTGGACCCTGTGAGCTGACAAATCACATCTCTAATATTTAACCAAAAATGGGACAATTGCAGGTTTCTGTCAGTCAAGCTGAATCTTGGTGGAGTGTAAGACCAACTCTGGAGTCTATCGCCCCGATTTGCCACCTCATCTATTTTACTTTAACAAAACAACCATAAATGTTTATCTTTTCTAAAATTTGTCTATTTTCTGTCTGTTTAGATGAATGCTAAAAATACTGTCCCTGAAGATTCCTCCCTGCTCCTTTGATGCTGTCTCAAAATCGGGAGCCCCTTTGCACAAAATCTTCCCTTCCACCCCTCTGCTGCATTTTCCTTCCAAGAACAGGCAAACAAGCAGGAGGAGCTCAAATTAGGCCACAGCTGTATTTTCCAGAGAAATTATCCTCATTCCTTTTAAGGACACGAGTGCTCGTCATTAACAAAGAATGGCCTGTTTAAAGGGACAGGACAAAGCATGCCATGTGTGACAATGAAACAGGCAAAAAAAAAAAAAATAGAAGGGAGCTTTGTTGAGCATTTTCAGATATATAAACCATAGAAATGGATTTATGCAAATGGGCTTTTTGTGAATTTTCAGTTTCAAGGATGGAAGGATGGTGCTGAGGTTTTATTTGAAAAGGTTGGGGTAAAAAAGATTATTAGGGGGCTTAAATGTGATACATAATCAACATTTATATACTTAGCTTTAAGATAATACTGATTATCACTTGGAAAAGTCCTCAGGAAGGAAAAAGCAGACCTTACCCAAATTATTAGGCACTATCTTCATATATTCAAAAATCCTTGATGTTTTAGCATTTTAATATTAATTCTAAAAAGCAGAAGTATGACTGCTTCATATGATTCTGCTGGTTGTAAACTTGGTTAAGATGCTCTAGAAAAACAAGATCTTAGAAGAAATTATTCATGTAGGTTTTGGTTGGTGGGTAAATCATCTGCAGTGGTCAGAGCCCACTTGTATGATTTCATCTCTCCTGGTTTGTTTTCCTCAGTTCTACACTTTTTAGCAAGAGAATTTTTCTGAAGTACTGACCAAATACTAAATACTGAACACAATCTTTGCAACACAAATAACCAAGAACTTACAGTTAAAAACTTCTGTGCTTTGCGCTCACTTTCAGTGCCCCTGAGGTGACCTGCACCCTTATTTAACAGACCATTTTGGTACTAATACATTGCAACAATAATTCTGAATTTATTTTTCATCCTGTGTTCCAGGCATCATGACTTGGACAAATGGTTTAGGTCTCTTCACCGGGTTTCTGATGGGGTTTCTCCTCCTGTCCGTGTTCACCACGAAGGTGGTGCCTGAAGAGAACATCGTTGCGACCAAGAAGGGCAAAGTCAGAGGGACCAGCCTGCAGGTGCTGGGGGGGACAGTCACAGCCTTCCTGGGAATCCCTTATGGGCAGCCCCCCATTGGGAGGCTGAGATTCCAAAAGCCAGAACCTCGGGAGAAATGGGCAGATGTTTGGGATGCCACCAAACACGCAAACTCCTGCTACCAGCCCATAGACACAACTTACCCGGGCTTTGCTGGCTCGGAGATGTGGAACCCAAAAACCAACCTAAGTGAGGACTGTTTATACCTGAATGTGTGGATTCCTTCTCCCAAGCCCAAGAATGCCACTGTCATGGTGTGGATTTATGGTGGTGGCTTCGAGTCCGGCTCCACTTCCCTGCCTGTCTACGATGGGAAGTTTCTGGCCAGGGTGGAAAGAGTGGTGGTGGTTTCCATGAACTACAGGACTGGTGCCCTGGGATTTCTGTCCTTGCCAGGAAACGAGAAAGCTCCTGGAAATGCAGGTTTATTTGATCAAAGGTTGGCACTTCAGTGGGTCCAGGAGAACATAGCAGCCTTTGGAGGCAATCCCAAAAGCGTGACTCTGTTTGGAGAGAGCGCTGGCTCGGCCTCTGTCACCTATCACCTCCTTTCTCCTGAAAGCCATCCTTTATTCACCAGGGCCATCCTGCAGAGTGGGTCTGCAAATGCCCCCTGGGCTGCAATTACATCTTCTGAGGCCAGGAACAGAGCAGTGGCTTTGGCCAAACAGCTCCGGTGTCCCACCAGCAACGAGTCAGAGCTCATTTTCTGCCTCCAAGACAAGGATCCGAAGGAAATAGTGGAAAATGAAATTTTTGCCGTTCCAGACGGTTCTTTTTTACAAATACAATTCTGCCCAAGCGTGGACGGTGATTTCCTGGTGGACATGCCAGAAGTATTGATGGAGAAGGGTCTTTTAAAAGACACCCAGATCCTGGTGGGTGTTAATAAGGATGAAGGTTCCTTTTTTCTGGCATACGGAGTGCCTGGCCTGGACAAGGACAGCGACGGCTTGATCAATAAAACCCAGTTTGAGGCAGCTTTAACTCTGGCCTTCCCAAGAGTGAGCAAACTGGCCATAGAGTCCATCATCTTCCACTACACAGACTGGGAAAACCTGGGAAAGCCGGAGCACTACCGGGATGCCATCGATGACGTCATCGGGGACTACATCATCATCTGTCCCGTGGTGGAGTTCAGCACCAGCTTCGCCCAGCTGGGCCACCACGTGTTCTTTTATTTCTTTGAGCATCGCTCCTCCAAGCTGCCCTGGCCAGAGTGGATGGGGGTCCTGCATGGCTACGAGATCGAGTTTGTGTTCGGGCTGCCCCTGGAGAGGAGAGTCAACTACACCAAGGCTGAGGAGCTCCTGAGCCGCTCCATGATGAGATACTGGGCGACTTTTGCCAAAACTGGGTGAGTTTACTCTGGAAGCTTGGTTGGTTGGATGTTGTTTCAGCAGGGGGAAATCTCAGGCAACTTTTGCCAAAACTGGGTGAGTTAACTCTGGAAGTTTGGTCAGTTGGATGTTGTTTCAGCAGGGGAAAATCTCAGGCAACTTTTGCCAAAATTGGGTGAGTTTACTATGGAAGTTTGTTCGGTTGGATGTTATTTCAGCAGGGGAAAATCCCAGGCAACTTTTGCCAAAACTGGGTGAGTTTACTGTGGAAGTTTGGTCGGTTGGTTGGTTGGCTGGTTGGATGTTGTTTCAGCAGGGGCAAAAGCTTGGCTGTTTCAGTGCTGCTTTGGAGCCTGGCTGGAATGATAGAAGCAGATTAATTGTTCAGTTATCCAGAATTCTTATTTTAGTTCTGACAAAAGCACTAAGGTTTCAATAAAATAAACTGTTGATGTGTTGCTCCCTGTATTGGGCAAGCTTAAGGGATCAATGTTTATCCACCCATAAAAGCAAATACAAAACATTTCTTTGCCAGGGCTGCGGTTGTTACAAAGGCAGGTAATGGTTTCAAGGGTTAGAAACAAAATATTTCAAACACTAGAAAAGACTTCCAGCAGTAGAAGTAGGAGGAAAAAAGCCCAATTTCCTTGAGGATGTAATTTGCTCAGAACATTCAGGTGTACAACAGGGAGGTGTGTTATGTTCACTCGATGAAGACATTGGGATTTCACAAAGCCTCTCCTCCCTGTGTGCTGAGTGCAAGCCCAGGACAAAATCTCCAGTTCCAGTCCACTCATCTTGAAGTGACATTTGGCCCAGCCTGCACAAGGAGCAAATAGGAATATTTCATTTGGGTGTTGGAATGGATTAAATCCAACCCCTCTCCTGCTGGGCAGCCCTTGCTCCTCTCAGCAGGGCTGGGGGCTCTCAATGAGATGCTCAGTTTGAAATGAAAACGTTTCAGAGCAGTAACAAAAACAGCCCCCACCATAATAATCATGTAGGATTAGTCCCAAGCCTGGTGGGAAGGGAAGATTTCTTTTTACAGAAGTTTGGTTTGTGCTCTCTCCTGAGAAAATTATACATACAAAAATCTGTTCCTTGGAGAACACACAACCACACAGTCAATTCACACTCTAAAAAGCATTTCTTTAACTTTAATGTTAAAATCCTGCATTAATTCTGTTTCTAAGGTGGACCCTGTGTTTGATTTGTCAAGGATATTTAGATTTGTAAAGGGAACTGAACATTGGAACAGGATCTAATTAATTTTTTTAATAGATTAGAAACCAGAGGGGACCACTGTGCTCATTTAGTCCACCCAACCTTGTACATAACACAAAACACAGGTAGGACTGAAATGTTCCCACTGATTAAAAATGTTTCCACTGATTAAAAATCCAGAACAAACACTGTTAGGTTGTTTTAAACCTTAATTCCACTTGAAGCATTACATTATAAAAGTTAGTGTTTCCAGAGTGAATTTGCCTACTCTAACTCTGCATTTTCCAAGTTTCACATTTTGTTTCACAATTTTTAAGATTCATTTTATGATTTTTGTTCCATATAGAGGTTGGTTATTAAGGATCTATTAAAATAATCCTTATTCCTTTTTTTAAAAAATTGTTTGTTAAACAAACAGGCTCTACCCTTGAGGCTTGCACTAATGTGCTTTTTCTCAAATAATCACTCTCCACATTTAAACCTGTGATTCATCCACACCTTGTTGGAACTCTCCCTGCCAGAATTAAACACTGTCATCCCCACAGGGTTGTAATTCCAATGTCACCTCTCCCTCCCAGTTCAGCCTGACATTCCCTGCTTATCCATCCAAGGCAAGAGCTGTTTGTGCTTCGTGGTGTTATCTTGGGGCTGCCATTTGTCAAAGGCTCCACCATCCATCCCAATTCCATGTTCCCCCCATGCCTGGGCTCCCTCCAGCTCCAGGACACCCCAAAATTGGAGGCTGCCAACCCCCAGCCCTGTGCTGTCCCTTCCCCTCATCCTCCATGGTGAACTCAATGCTTATTTTTATGTGCATCCCTTTTTTAACAGATTTACTTATCAATCGGTCTGATTGATTGATTGATTGCCTTGATTTGTAGGAGGATTAATTACTTAAATGACTCCCATCCCCCTTATATATTGTAATAAATATTTATTTTACCAGAAGAGATGAGCATATTAAAACTCAGAAAATAACCAATAGCTGTGCTCATCACTGCATAATGCTTTCATACAGCTTTAATTATTGTGAAATTTAATCTAAAATTTAATCCACGAGCTCTTCCTGGCTCCCTCTTTGCTGAGAGCCTGAGCAAACCCCTCTGTGTGAGTTTGGTGGGGAGGGCTGTGATGCAGAGCAAAGCCTCCAGTGGGGCTCAGTCTGGGACTGAGCTGGGAGGGTGATTTATCAAGGCCAAAAATGCACCTGATGGGTTCCCAAGATGAAGGCAGACGTTGGGAAAGGCTTGGGAACACGTCCTGCACCGTGAAGATGGGCTGTGACACCGTTCCTTTGGGGCTGGTGTTGGTGGAGAACAAACCGAGTGAAAGTCCCTTGTTCCATCCTGCCCCAAAGGAGCCTGCAGCAGCATCTCCCACCAGAGACAGCACATCCTGCCATTGAACACAACTATTTCTTGGTGGAAAAAGAGAAATTCAGGTCTATATTTGATTTTGCAGAGCGATATTTACATTTCTTTGAACTATTGGTTTCCATTGGATTATGTATGTATTTCATTTTCATGTATATATTTCATTTTCACATATATATTTCATTTTCACGTATATATTTCATTTTCACATATATAACTTTCATGTATATATATTTATATATAAATCACAATAACCTGCTCTGCAAAACACTGTTCCTGTCACTGCAGCTCCTAAAATTAGACACCACAAGGTACATTCAGGTTTAAGTTTGTGGAAGACAGTCCTGTCACCTACTCTGATCATCATTCACACTATAATTAGATTACCCCACAGATTGAATTTCAAGTGGTTTCCACAGCAAACAGCAAATAATCCCTCCCTCTGCTCCCACCACGAGGATCCAAACCACCACTATTGGGGAAAACAATACAACCCAGCAATTTCTGTGTTAGTGAAAGATCAGATGAGGATTAACCCTCTGTGTGACCCTTTACTCATTATCCAGAGCAGAGCCACCTAAGGCTCTGTATCCCATTAGTCAGAGTCTGCAAGCAGTGGGGAAGTGATAAAAATGCCCAATAATTCCAAAATTAATAAGCAATCCTTTTTTTTTCCCCTGCACATTTGAGCACAGCAAACATTTATGAGGAGCTGGGGAAGCCCTGTTTTGACATAATGTTTGTAGGAAACTCTGGCATGATCAAAGGGCAAACCTCTGAGGGGAAAATTACCATTGATGTCTCCAGCAGATGAAGAGAAAAATCAAGCAAAAATGAGAAATATTGTACAGCACATTTTTTAGTGAGGGTGTTTGACCTAATATTCTAATGTGCTGAAGTACAAAAGCACAAGGGAGGGGAGAGCAGCCTGCAGAGGAAAGGAGATGAAGTAGAGTCAACAGAAGTGGAAGAAATCTTATTTTTCCTGGTGTTTTCTGCCTGAGAGGTGCCAGAGCTGCTGCTCATGAGGGGCCTTCCAGCCCAGACTTTGACCTTAGTGATGATCTCTGGGTTTTATTATCATGCAAGGAATAAAAACGCTGATAGGAAAATTAAAAATGTGCACTGAGGAGCATTTTCTGCTTCTGTCATGGCTTAACCCCAGCCAGCAGCTAAACCCCACAAAACTGCTGCCCCCTTCCCCCACAGAGGGATGGGAGAGAGAACTGGAGGGATGAAAGCAAAGAAAACTTGTGAGAAATCTTTAATGTCATGTAAGGACAAAAGGAAATATGTTAAGGACACAAAGTGGCTCCTTCAAAGCATCCCAAGAGTGTGGAATCCTTGATTTCTGCAATTCTCAGTAACTAAAGGACACTGTCAGCCAGCCCAGGGGTTTCCCAGCCCACCACCATCCCCAGCAGGAGTGGATGCAATTTTCCAGATCTCTCACACTTCCTATTTCACATCCTGGCTAAAAATAAACATCAGTGATTAGTGACCATTTTTCCTGGGAAAATGATAGGCATTTCTATTTTTGAATAGAAACAGGGGCTGGAGATGTAGAGGATTCAGCAGGAGACAGGAACACACATTTCTCCTGTGAGCCTTGGTGCTGGTGCTGCTGTTTAGACTCCAATTTCTCTTCTGCATCCCTGGGAATGGGGTCATTTTTAGGAATCTGCCATATATTGACATAGTCTGTGAAGATCCTGCTCAAAAAGTCTTTTTCATGGCTGAATTTGGGTGTCAAATAAGTTTGACCAAGTACCCCAGCCATTCCTTTTTAAGCTATTATGGTATTCCATAAAATACTTTTATTTTTCATACATTTGAGCCTTGAAAGAGCAACATTTTCATCATACTCTGAAAAATCCTTGTTCTACCAGCAAGGGAAGAAGGAGACTTTCTACTCCTGCTGTCTGAATAAAACAAGCCTAATAAAATATTTGGGTTATAAGAAAGAACAGATTCCAAAATCAACGTTCATGATTCACACTTTGAGGTTTAATTCCTCCCTTCACCTTGACCTGGGGTCTCCTCAGCTTATTCTTGCATTTAAGAGTATTGGCAGTTGAATATCAATTCATAGCCTCAAAATCATGTGATGAAATACCAGATATCACCACAGTGAGACAAGAGAGATTAGCAGATTGGATTCAGCAGGAAACCACAGTGTGGTGTCAGGAAAAGTGCTGGATCAGCTCTGGTATGACTGTGTTTGTGTGGAAATAACATTTATTTTAACAATAATGTTAATTTTCACTGGCCTTCTCCGAAATTTTTTCCCAGCACACTTGATTTTAAGCCACGCTCGTGAAAAAACAAATCTCTCTTTTTGAACATTTTTAAAGTTGCTTTTTCTGCCTCAATTTTGTTATTCTTCAGAAAGCTTTTGAAAGCAGGCAGGTGACAGCAAC